AAGAATTTGCTCTAACAAAGTGGTCATCTTATTTGAATAGCCGGTCAAGACAGTTATATTTCCAACATGTGTAGAGCTCCACATTGCCTTTCTATGATTTCAGTAAATAGAGGAAAGCTTGGAAAACCATGGAAGATACTTTGGCCTCAGTAGAGAAGGAACTGATCTTGTCAGTGAGAGGGACAAGTGCTTCCTGGATACATAGCTCAACACAGCTGGACAGCATCTGATTTGTAACAGACCAATATTTTCCCCTATCTCTTGAAAAACTCAAGAAGGAATGAAGGGATCATCTAAACACTTTATTTCAGTTAAAACTACAGCATGTAATTGGGTCTGATCAACATGATTACAAAGGCCAAGGGAAAATCCAATAAAATTGATTCATTACTATGGAAATTAGAAATCACTTTATGCAAGAGTTGCAGATAAAAGCATCTTACTAGTTTATGAGACACCATGAAGAGTGTATCAGACAGTAGCAGCGTAGTTCATCCACCTATATGAAATCACTGTTATTCAGAAGGCCTGTTTGGCTGCTCCATAGAAAAGGAACTTTCTCACACTGGCTCCAAATGTTGTTCATTTTCATTAGTCAAATAAGCTATACAATGCTCACAAAATGATATGATACTTATTCACTGGGCAATAGGCATTATTGAGCTGCCATTTCTTTACCATAATGTGAGTGAATTCATAATCTTTGAAGATATGATATGCCAATACAGCCAAACAATGAAATATTACTGATGTTGGAAATCAGAGAACATGAGATGGAACAAGTGTGAAGGGGAGCTTATACCATTTTATCACAATAAACACTTTTCTTCCTTTAACCAATGTAAGACTTAGCATTTCAGTAAATTCTTTATGCTTTGAAAGAACAAGACTTCAGAGTCTTTAAAATCAGACTGTAGGAAATGAAGCTGCAAGTCGTAACTCAAAATTGATGTGGCAATAAATCCAGGAATTAAAGGGGAATTTGAAAGCCTCCTCTGGAGAGCCAAAGCAAGTTTGGCAATTAGTCAAAATTTGAGATAGTAAAGTTGTATTTGTCTATCTAGCTACGTATTTTAACAAAAACAGAAAGCAGAAACTTACACACATTTCATATTTTGTTGAGAAACAAGAAGTATATGCCTAAGGCTGAACTGGGCAAAGATAATCTAATGCATTTGTACTTAACAAGCACTAATGTGCTATTAGTGTTGCTAAGTGATGTATGAGTGGTTGCTGTTTACCAGTAAATTGATATTTTTGAGGTAGTTCTCACACTGGTTTTCATTTTATGCCCAGAATTCCAAGTCTTCACATCAAAACAATATTGATGCTTGTTTACACCCAAACCGAAAGATCTCCTTCTTTTGCTAATAGTCCATTTGAGGCAGATTTTGATATTACAGCTTTGAGAGAAGTACAGTCATGGAAAATACTACCTTTAATGTCTGATAAAAGATGAATCAAATGTTTTTAAAATGCACTGAAAGATCTGAAAGTAGATTTACTAATTCTTACTCATTGAAATTCCAGTTTTAGAGGTCAGTAAATCTCTGCAAATATTTTCCTTCAACATTATCAGAAGCCTTGGTAATTTCAGTTCTGGATCATGCCCAAGGGACATTACAGACCAATGGTTTGCTAGGACTCTGAACTGAAAAGAGCCTGGGACGTATCCCTTTCCTTTCCTGCAGTAAAAACTCCAAAATACCCACAAGACTCACTCTTCAAAACTATGTTTTACCAGAATGCAAAACAAAAGCTTGAAGACCTTTGGCATGCACACCCCTGCCTATGCTTCCACCCCAACCTGGTGCATTCAGTTCTGAAGTAGCTACCTGCCTTCTTCCTCCCAGTAGTGTTTTTCTTTCACTGTCTCTGAGGCATGGCATGGGTTCTAGTCCCTGCTGCAGGCAGATCTCCCATTCTCTCCAGGCATCCCCCAGTCTGTGCTGGTGCTTCTTTTTCTCTCGTTCCCTGACACTGCTGGGACACCAGGACTTTATCCAAATTAAGCAGGGGAAGCTGCTCTCAGGGTCAGACTAATCTTCCCCTCTCCAGGTCCACTCAGGCCCAGGGAAGCAGCAACCAGAATAAAAGCCTTCTTTTCTGAAAGACCTAACAAAACCCTCCTAAATAGTTCTGCTTTTGCATGGTCAATTTTCTCTCCTTATTCAGGAGCACTTAAATAAGTGACAATGTTCTTCCCTAAGATGGTACTGGTTATGCCATTGCTACCTAATAATGTTCAACCCCAAAGCTTCCCATTACACACAGAAAAGTATTTCTAAACTGTTTATTTCTGAGCGTTCCTTGACAAAAGATAACAACTGTACTTCCTACCGTGAGGTATACTATGGCTTTTATTATGGCTTCTGACAGTAAGACATTTGGTACATTTAGCAAAAAAGAAAAGGCAGCCACTGCTGAAGAAATCATAAATCTCTTCATCCACCTGCAAACAAGGACAATCACTAAATAAATTTTACAGAATCCTTGCAATCTTAGGCTTAGTTTCTTCTGGCTTTCCTTTTAAGATTATTTTATCACTTTTAAAATATTTCCTATTAAAGCTAGATTTAAAATGCTCTTTTTTGTTATCGCAAACTTTTCTTTGATTTTGGCCAAATTTGCACCAACGCTGACACTTATGGGCTAGTTCAAAATACTAGATACAGTTACACAACTGGCCATAGTTTTCATAGTTAACTCTGGTTTGTTTCCCCAATTTTCTTCCCATTCCCGTAGTATATAAGGTTTTTCTCCCCCTTTGCCTAACATTTTCTTTGTATATATACTTTTGCCATCTTTTCCAGTGTTCCTCGTCTCTTCCTTATAGTTTTCCAACTCCCAAATTCCACCTTTGGGAGTATCCATTACTCTGTTGTCTCCTTCCTTTTTCCCCCACCCAGTTACTTCCTACTCTGTCTTTGACTTCTTTTTCTTCAGATGTGCCTGCTAATTTGTCCAACGCTTCTTGCACTCCAAACTAGTCCTGCCTTCACCCCCTCCTCCAGGATTCATCCACCACCGCCTACATTCACAAAGATAACTTAACCCCTCTCTCACATTTGGACAACTGCCTTAGTATGTCCTGCATCCATACAGGAGAGTCTTCAATTTGCTTCAGATCTGACTTCCAGAACTTAAGCTCTGGAAACACAGGGAAAACACTGAAAAGCAGTGTCCTAGCACACAACATACTGTCCCACAGGACCAGTGGAGAAGCCACGACCTAACTGTCAAGAAGAAGGGGATTTTCCTAGCTGGGCTAACTACAAAGCACTGCTAATGCTGGCAGGCAGAGGGAATGGTGGGTATGTGGTCACCTGCAGACACACACCAACCTATGCAGACTGAGATGAGTGAGCCGTCGAGCTGTTGCTGAATAGACAGACTAAGCATGTGATGTCTGTGGGTGGGAGTATTACATTCCCAGAAGATAAGGCATGTTTGCCACTGGTTTGAGACAAGGCTTGATTTTGGCAGCAAGCCTCACAAGGTGTAGAGGGTAAGATTCTGCCCTGCAACAGTGACTCATTTCTTCTTTCCAACAGGGTAATAGAGTTACCTTACCAGAGTGGTACAGTATTGTCTGGCATTTCAGTTAAGAACTATGATAAATGTGTTTTTTTTCTCTTCAGTGCCCTTTACTCACACGTAGGCTGTTAACGACTTTATCTTCTAAATCTATTATCTCACAGCTTAGACAACTGGTGCAAACACCTTCAGTACAGCACAATCCGTAATAAAGCAACACAAAAAGCCCCAAACAACCCTCCAAAAGCAACAAAGCAAGAAATCTGGCACAAGAGGACCTAAACACTAGCTATTCAAAACATAACTTTTGGCTATACTTACATCTACTGTCATGAGCAAACAAACCTCAAAAGAAAACAGGCTGGTTGGGTATTAACCAACCCTGGTTTAGGCATCTGGAAGAAAAAGCCTTGTTCAGGGAATCCCTTAAGGAGGAAGAAAGACAAGCTAATGCCAAAGTTCTTTATTTCCTCTCACTTTCTATTAGCCTGGAGTAGAGAGTTGTATATTGTGCCTATTATCAAGGTGCTGCAATGAAGTTGCCTGTCAATGAACAGCAACAAACAAGAACTAAGATGAGTATCTCCTCATACTGCTCATGAATCCCCATTCATCTGGAATTAACATGTGAAAATACGAGTAACTTGGCCTTTAAGTCACTGTACTTTATTTCTTCCTGTTTGATGTAAAAATGGTGGTAGGATCAACAAATAGCTTTCAGAAATCTGATCGTCAGACTATTTCAGTGTTCTTTGTTACATACTCTGAGACTTCTTCCCCCAGTTATACACCATACTACTTAGATTCATTGGTATGCATGCAGTGCCAAGCAGCCGTATCTATTCTCTGTGCCAAAAGTAAACACTGAAATCAGTGACATTGTTGATTATTTAGAAGAAAAAAAAAACCAAAATAAAAAAAGAACAAAGATAATGAAATGAAGTTAAAATAGCCCAAACTAAACCAATTCATTTTTAAATTGTGAATTTATTTTGACAAATTTGAAATAAGCATTATCAATCATATGAATAACAATTCTAAATGATAGAGATTTTATTAGCAATGTATTTTTTTTACTACTTTTATATTCCTTTTATGTCTAAGAAATAGACTTGATTCCTGGTCCCTCACTAGTATGCAAATTTCTACCAGAATCAACTAACACACATAACAGGACAAAAAAAAAAAATTAAAATTCTGAAGCATGGTAGCATTCTTTTTTCTTTCTGCAAGTAAAATTATTCTTCACAATTGCTCAGAAAACAAGAGAAAGTCCATTAAAATCTTCAGACTCTTAACAAAAGGCTCTTGGCTAATGTTACTGGTCTAAAAAGGAGATAAGCCATATAATTTTACAGGAAGCAACCCACTGAATCCTTCAGCAAACACAGCTTGGCAAACTATCTTCAATTCAAAATAATGAGGTGGCAGGAGTGTGATGGAGAAATAAGTCTTCAAAAACATCACATAAGGGAATCCAGCTGTGCTTGTATAGTTTCCAGCTATTTAAAGGAACAAAAAAGAGAGAAAAAACTCCACTCATATAAAATGTTGTTTAGAAACATGCAAACAGAAAAAAAACACATTCCAATATCTTCAACTATGCATACTAAATCTATTCACATAGCAATAAAAAAAACCTGTACTCATGAATATTTGTTTTTACATGAAGCTATTAGAATTCATTGCTGCAGTCTAAATATTCAAATTTTAAAGAAACAGTTGTCTAAATACTGCCTTTTTACATGCACAGATGTTTTTCTGTGAATTTCCAATGCATAATAACAAGAAAAAAAAAATAATAGAGTTCATTTTGACTGGATTACGAGCCTGGCATTTCAACTGAAGACGTAACACAAAGATGCTCTTTCCAGAGAGCTCCTCATTGTTAATCATCAGCTACTGCTCTCGATCTAACTGCCAGGTATGCTTACAATGACCCAAGCCCTGTCTATGCCAAATCTGAATGCAAAGACTCTTCTTGAAAATGCTTTATGTGATCAAACAAATCCAACAGCCTTAATTAAAGTTGGATCCATTTTCGTTCCAGTTTCATTAGATTTAATTCATATAGGCAACACTTCCTGCTGAGCAGCATAAGGTGTTTACAAAGAAGCTATAGTATTGTAAAATCTACAGACCTTGTTATAGAACTCAAACAGCTCCTGATGACTAAATTCTACAAACACTTTCTTGAGGTTCTGTGAAGGAAAAAGGGGAAAAAAAGGAAGGAATAAGCATACTTTTTTTTCTTTTCTTTTTGGTATTAATTCCACTAATTCAGTATATGAGATTAAGCTACATGAAAGATAACAGTTGCAACAGTTAGTTTTCCCTCCATTCACTACAATGTCCCTCATACATACATAAGTCCACAGGCACATTTATTCTCCTGCTGCAAAGAATAATAATAAAATATTCTATGAAAATGATTTTGTTACCTTATTTTTAAGTCAGACAAAAATGAAAGATTACATTCATCTTTCTCAGCAGTCCATCTAAGATCTGGTAAATACCATTACACAATGACAAAGTCAGTACTGTATTTGATTGAACTTGCACAGCTATTAATGTACGGCATCAGCACAGAGCTAATACTTCCATTCATTAAACTAACAGCTATGATCTTAGCATGCTGACACCGCTATAAGCATCTATGCACAGATTCAGCCCAAGTTAAAAATTAACACAACAGCTTCAAAGCAGTGCTTAAACACTAAAAAAGCAAAGTAACACAACTGATGGAAACTACTGTGGATAAAACAGATGGTGGTAATAATTCTCTGCTTGTATGTGCTGATGTCTGTAGAGATGAGGGTTAAATTAAAATTTCTGTCCTGCCTAATTCGCTTGCATGAAACAGGTACTTTAACGCCTGCTACTTTCAATCACAGTGCAGATCTGTCCAGACGATTTCTAGTCTTATTCCTTCCACTTCGCTTTGTCACTTTACTACTTTTAAAATAAATTCCTAACTATTACTGCACATTCTCTGTGTTGTTGCTAGACTTTCCAAGGCTTGGAGGTATTCCTGAGGATAACAGCTGCACTTCCATAAGCACTAACAAGGCTCTGTGAAAACTGAATCTGTGGACACCTCTACTCACAAAATACTATCAGCTGAAATAATGTACACATGATAATTTTGTTTAACTGGTACTAACTTCATGTACCACTTAAGTTAGTAGAAAAACACTTATTTATCAATTCCGCTTAAATGAGCAGGGATACTTTTGCATACAGACAAGGCTGTGGGCCAGATTCTGTGTACTCTCATACCAATGCAAGTCTCGATTTAAGTCAGATAATGCTGCTGAATTTGGCGCACCAGCTGCACAAGAGCAGCAGAAGCCCTGGGAACTCAGGATAGGTACTGCCTGGTGCCTGCTCGTCAAAAGGAGTTGTAAGACACAGGAAAGGGATAAAATGACTGGGGCCAGCCTGTCTGGTGCAATTCCTCCTCCCCGCTCTGCAGAAAGAAGGATCCTTTCCAACAATTTCACGAAGGCTACAAAAGCCTAGAAAAGGACCAGTGATTTGCATGAGAGACCAATCTTCCCCCTCTGGGAAGGAACAATGCAATTCTGGGAATCATATGGTGAATACAAAATAAAACTTCCAGGACAGCAGCTCTCTTTGCCATGACTCCAGCTGATCCTCCCTCCAAAGAGCATAATGCCATGTCAAGGAAGTAAAAGCATTTTTAAAGGCTTTCTAACAGCTAAGAAACAAAGAGAAAGCAAACAAGTGGTTTCTTCAGAAAATAAAGGGGGTAGAGGAAAGAAAGATACACTAATAACAAATGGATCTACCATTTCAGCCTGGATGTTTGTTTGGCATTTGCCATTCCAGAAGGATTTTGGTGTTCGAATGGAAGGAAGTGAACTGAAAAGAGGAGGTTCAGAATAAAAGGAAGATATCATATATCTTAAAGTTTATCAGTCACAATGAATAGTCAGGATCATCTCTGGCATGGTGTCTGGCAGAAGAGCCTGCTGGATTTCAATACGACAGTTTTGCAATGCCTCCAGAGAGCGACAGTGGGTGCATAGCACCTCCAAGCACCAGATCTCATTTCTCTGAGCATTATGTCTCATTCAAGATGGGCATCTTCTAGTACTACTTCCGATCAGCAAGCAACATCAACTTTTCACACACACACACAAAAAGAAAATTAAACACTTGTCTTTCATATTTTCCTCTAACTATATTAATTACTGTAAGTTATAAGATATGCAAATGAAAAAAGTGTGGTCCTTTTAATTCAGGTTCTTTTTACACTAAAAAAAAAAATCACTGTTCTTTATGAACAGGCTGAGATCTCTCTTCCCATTATTATTTAATAATCACAGTCTGATAACTAAGACAAAATTTATGTTGCATTGTGGCAGGCAAATGTCTGCAGAGATCTAAAAGAAAGCATGCTGTGCCAGGCTGTGTTTCTGATCTGGGTGTGCAGGTGGGAGTGTCAATGGGAGAGAGGGTGTAACAACCTTTTATGAAACATGTTATTTATCTGCACTTAATCCTCTGCTAACACAGAATTGTTTCTGTGTGTAAAAACCTGGTACATCTACTACACCACTTCAGCAGAGAGCAGTGTGACAAAAAAATGTGCAGAAGTGTGGCACCAGTTAAAAATGTAATTTTTACAGTATTACATTTCTCACTAGTATGAGTCCCTTGAGAAGGGTGCCAAATGATCACTGTCATGTGATCAGGAGTTCCTGTAAAGACCACAAAAACATCATATCATAACTAGGTCCCTAAAAGAAAAAGCTACGTCTGAGCAGGCTGATGGCCCCCCATTTTTAGCTGAGTTATCAATTATTCACTTATTTGCTTTATTCTGTGTGAACACAAACAACTGTAATTAAAACAATGTGTCACAGGACTAGCTTACCATCTAGTTCTGTAATTACTCAGTCAAATAGTATTAAAAATTACTGTATAGATAGACTATTGACAGAGATTCCAGAGTAGGCAAACTCCTAATCTACTTTATGGAATTTTGCTCAGATAAGGATACAAAATTACAAACCGCAATAATTTTTTAGCCATAACTAAAACATAGGGTAAAAAAAAATCACTTTCAGCTTGCTGACTTAATTAAATGTCACTGTGTGCAGATAGAGTCTCAGCCTATTTATGAAAAGTGCAGCTAAGCTGCCTTCTTTTATTTGCACATACAGGTTTTCAGATGTTGTCTCCAACCTAGTATGTTTTTCCCAGAAGATAAATAAGAAAACAGTAACTTGCTGGATGTCTAACTTCTTTCTTCCTTCTATGAAGCATATCATTCTCTTTTCCTCTTTCCTGATAAATCTCCTCCCATTCCTTGCTTTCGCTCTACTCTTTCCCTCATTTCTGGCATCTCATTTTCTCCTTGCTGTTATCATCTTCATGTGAAAGAAAACTAAACAGAGTAACCAGAAAACTAAACTGAATTTATTCCCATTGTCACACTCAGCCACTCTAATACTTTTTCTAATTACATCCTAAACTTTGTTGTTGTGGCAGTAAAAGTCCTAGCTCATACTTCTAAGAGTTTTAGCCTTGAGGGTGACAGCTTCATAGCATCAGAGAAACATAACTGAAGATATTATTCTTATGAAGACAAAGAAATCTCTAAAATACCAAACATTCATTCTTTGGGCAGCTTTGAAAACTTGGAGACAGGCTTTTTGTCTGATTCAGTACCCATGAAGAGTGGCAGGGACAGCACTCGAGTCATATGCTCAATAAGCGTAGCTAAAGAGGTGATGTGCAGCATCTTCAGCTAAATGAAGTTGCTGTTAAGTTCAGTGTGCTCAACTCCCGTTAAATATGACAAAGCATTGCATTTACTACTGGAAAAGTCTGCATGAATTGCAGGTGTCGCCCAAGACAAATCTTTACATCACTCTGAATCCATCGTAAAGAATATGGTAATAAGTTTTCTGAAACGTACAGTTTAACATACTTGGCCCCATATCACCACTGAATGTATTTTTAAGTGTTAAAATTAAATTTTAGTGCCATTTTGCCTTTATAGATCTACATGGAATCTGATTTCATTCTACCTCTTCTCTCACTCCAGGGTTGTATCAATTTACAATTTACAGCCTCCTGAGAACTGTGAAATTCTAATAAATTTAACTGATTAGGGTTGTTTTCTCCCCTTACCTATCTTCTCATTTATTGTCTGGTATAATTTTGAAAAATGTAACAGCTTCTGCAGTCTCTAAAACAGCTGTTCAAAAACAAATTTCCTTGGGGGGTAGGGGGAGAGAAAGGAAAGGAAAATGAAAATAAAAACTTCCTGCTTCCAGTCAACATTAATATGCTATCCTATCCAAAACAGCCATTCTGAATGTATGGTTAATTTTACAAAATAGCCACAATCATTTCATATACACTTAGCTTACAACCACCAGAAAACAATTAGGCAAATTCTTAGCTGAACATGATCATCAGCAAAAAATGATGAAGATTCAACTACACAAGATGTAAATAGAGTCTCCATTTTCCCATTGCCTCAGCTAACAATTTATTTTAAACACTAATACCTTCTTGCTGCAAAATGTTTCTGTGGAAACCACACAAAAAAATGTCTTCTTAAAATACTTTGGAAAGCAGAGGCAAATTCCTGGTTATAATCAAAGGAATTGTTTTTGGTTTGCTTTTTGCGGGGTTTGGGGTTTTTAATCCAGTGCTCTAGATACTTCTTATTTTAATGTACTACTGCAAAAGGCTTTTTTACTAATGACAGAGTTTTGCAACCTTATTTATTGCCCAGCTGTATTCCACACATTTAACTCCCCCACCCCATGCATAAGCATAGAGCAAGGCACTAGGAGTTATAAATAAAAGGCAAACTTCTAGTTTTAAAGCTAACTTGAATATGAAAAATTGATATTGCTGTAATAGTTCTCAACTGCAAAGCTGTAACTACTTTTACAATGTTGCAAAATAAATGCCAAGTATTCTGAAGCAAGCAGATGGAGGGGCAGGCTGGTTTGTATATCTAAATGTCTACTGATAATGATAATGTTCTATGACTGAGCACATGTAAAAAATTACAGTATATTCAGTGAAGTTTGTTGACAGTAACTAGCTGAAGCAACAGATATCCCAGTGTCCATATTTTAATATAGCCTTTAACACTATCTTGAGCCACATCTCAATTAGGTTTAAGAGAAGAATATTTTCACATTTGCTT